TGGAAGGCAGGAAGCCTGGCTGAGGAACCTGTTGGGCTGCTGGCCAGAAATCATCCATGTAAGTGCCTCCCAGACAGAGCCGCCTGCCTCTGGCACCCCAGCTTCTCCCTCCCCTCAACATCTCTCTCCCCTGCAACCATCTGCCTTCCTCCTGCACCCCTACCCCACAAAACCCAAACCCTCTGAACTCCCCTCCCCTGCACTCCAATTCCTTATCCCACACTCCCTTTTGCACCCAACCTCCATCCCAGACCCTGCACCTCCTCCATTAATATCATGGAAAAATGTGGCCCTTGACCACTTACCAAATTCTTGGAGTAGCCACCCATAAAAAAATTATTGCCCACTACTTACACTTCAGTCCTCCCTGAGAGGTGGTAACTAGATCAACAGAAGAATTCTGCCATCAATATAGAGCTGTGTGTACCAGGGGTTAACTATGTTTCTCCAGGACATGGATTTGTCATGCACCATGAATAAGCAACAACACTTTCTAGCCACAATTTTTTGACTGGCCTGAGACATACCTAACACGTTTATATATTCAAACTCAAAAATTAACATGAACTTTCAACTGTGATATCCTGTTTTCAGTTTCTCTCCAATGATGCTAGTAACATCTGCAGCAAAACTCCAGGAAGCAAGTAAATTTATTAAGTCAGACAAAGTGTACTGTCCTAGCCCCAGGGAACAGTTTGTGAAGGTTAGAAGAGTTTTGCTCTGCATAATGTGGAGAAATCTGGCAGAACATTTAAATAACCACAAACTTTTTAAGGTCTATCCATACTACAAGTAGACGTGATCTAGAAAAAATCAGATATTTTCGGCACTAGACATTTCCTTAGCATTTCTCACCATTGCAACTCCACAGGTAATAACAACAGTGGGAGTATTTGAACAGACCAGCCACCAGTATTTTCGACATCTGTTGTCTATTCCTGGATTAGGAAGCATGGCCATTTAAAACAGTAGTAGCTGTACAAGGCTCCTCAACAGGGTTTGAAGTGAAGATTTTTAACACAAACCTCCACTGGATTGAAGATAACCTCCCAGCATGCATTAGCAGTAGGTTGTTATCCTCTATTACACGAACACTAGAACAGTATCACAGCACATATCTTTACCATGTGTAAAATATATACTTGCAATCTCACCAGTGGTAAATGTTAAGACAATAAATCCAGCATACACAATTATCCCACACTTTTGTGGTTAACTGTAAAGTCAATCCTAAATGTTAAAAAATCATGAATCAGGCCCACAAAATCATGTGACTGGTTTAAAAACCAAAAGGTTTTAAAAAATTAATGGAATGAGTTCTTGCCGTCTGATTTCTGAGCCTTAGAGATACATTTAGTTCTTGTTTTCCAGTGGTTGTTCCTTATAACCATGGGTGCTTGAAAAAAAAATTAAATAGAAGCTGAAATTCTCTGCTAATCACACATGGCTGGGAGCTGGGACTCTGAGAAAAAATACCAAATATTGTGAGTGATGACAACACTGCTTTCTATTGTTAGTGTTGCTCAGCCTTTCAGTTTTGAAAATAAACCCTTTGAGTCTCTGAACTGACATTGTATAATCCATGAATTGGTTACATAAAACTGTTGAGAGGATCTTGAAAGGTGAATGCAATTATGATATCTATGCTCACTGTCAACTACGCTGTACGTATCTACATTCCAGTTCTATTTGCTGTTATAGAGTGAAAGAAAACTTTCTAATGGGCTTTGCTGCCTGCTGATGTACCAAGAGTTCTTTTAAGAATTTCACCACAGCATATTCAAATTAAGCCATTTTTTTAACTGAAATATTTCATCACTCATGGTCAAGGATTGCCATACTGGATCAAATCCATCTAGCCAAGTATCTTCTGGTCTCTGTGACAGTGGCCAGAACTAGCCACCTAATTAAAGCTGCCTGAAACTCCCACAGTAGATGATTATGGAATAATCTGCCTCCAGGGAAGTTTCTGCCTAATCCTCTCAATTAATGGCTCACGTGTAACCTACGCATACTCTAAATGCATTATTACCTATCGATATACACATCTAATGCCTTTCTCAATCCTACTAATATCTTGGACTCATTGACATCTTGTGGCAGTGAGTGACTGTGTAACAAAAAAGCACTATATCTGAACTATGCTCCCATTGACTTCCCTTACTCTTCACGAATCAAGAAGTACTAGTGTTGAAAGAGGAGCCCTTTACTAGACCCTTTACTAGACAGCCACAGCAACCATCTTTCCAGTAGTGAAGATGTGGCGTTAGTGTTTGGGCTGTTTCCCTGATTAACATCATTTATAGATTCTATGAAAAAAAAAGTGCTTTCAGATATTCCTCCTTACTATATTAAAAAATAAAGATCTAACGAAATCTCTATTTCCATAAGAGGCATGGTTCGGGACACCACTTCCCAAGGCTCCCATTGGCCAGGAACAGCAATCCGCGGTCAGTGGGAGTTGCAATCACTGGTACCTATGGCCATGCAGGTAAATATAGTGGTGGGGGGCCCGCCAGGAGCGATAGCTTGGTATTTGCCCACCTCAGTATAAGACATACTTTGCTCCAGACATGCAGGACAACTATGTGGCGAGGGTAATAAAACAGGAAAAATACAAATGGGAAAAACCACCCATTTGCCATTTTACACAGTTCCCTCCTAATAGAAAAGATCAGTAAAATTATATGGACATCTTAAAAACATATTGTTTCACGCATTTTAATAGTCTCATACAAATATGCACGTGGAATCCTCATTTACAGTAGTTAGGATAGGAAATGTGTAAGATTTCCCCAGCACACTAATATTAATAAGACCAAGCTATTCCTTCTGATTTTCAATGGCATATGCAATACCTAACGACAGCACATGGCTTCTCAGAAAGAGGTAGGACAGAAGTAAAGTCTGGGGTAGAAGTAGAGATGAGGAAAAGGTCCAACTCTCAAAATGCACATTTAACACAATCCCAAAGGTGGGCTTTAATACACTAAAACAAAACATTAAAAAAAAAACTAAATGGCTTGGGGAAGTGAAAAATTACTAAAGTTTCCAAAACTGAGTCCATGTCACTTTTCAGGTATTGGGGATGGGAGAGGAGGTTTAACCACCCTGTTCTATGCAAAATCCAATTCTGGTATTTTTATTCTGCTTAACTAAATCTCCCCACCCTCCACAAAACACTTGGACACAAGTCTTTCTTTCTTTCTTAAACAATTTAAATTTTCTATTGTTCTTGTGCATTTTAACTAATTGCTACATTCTACCCAGGAGATGGTTGCATTGACATGCTGTGGAACAATTCTTGCTCACACAAAAATTAATAACACTGTATCATGCAAAATTTCCCATGACTGATGACAGATGCAGCTGAATTGGGGATGAAACGGCTTGCCAAACTGCAGACTGGGACAGATAATGTTCAGCACTTCACACATTTAACTGCACCTATTGCTCATTCATGTCAGTGAGAGGTCGTTTTTGTACATAGACAAAGCTAATGAAGTTACGCACATGAGTAACGAGAGCAGACTGAGATCTACAGTTTTTAGAGCAATTAGAATGTGTGGGGATCTTTAGGGACAAATTATGAATAAATATTAGAACAATACAAAACTAGCAAAAAAGTAGTCTGTCACTAGAGACTATGATAGTTTCTCTATGGCTTCTATGATATGGTCTCTTTGGATCAATTTCTGCACTGAATTTTATGCACTCTAGCGAAAGACATGTCCATCTATAAACCTATGCACACAGACTGTAAACAGCTATTACGTGTTGAACCACAGACACTGAGGAGCTCAGCATAACTGAAACCTTCCATACCACAGAATTACAGTGTTATCTACAAATACACTCACAACTTATTACTGACAAAAACATCCAGAATCGAGGGACAGAGCTCATATGGCAGGAAGGCCAGCAAAAATAAATTAATCAATTAAATAAATAAATAAAGCAATATCTGCATTTTATGGGGGTTTTTTTTAGTACAGATAGTTATAAACTGCATTACCCCCGAAACCTGCATCCTCACCTTCGCATTTCTGCTCAGCCCAGGTAAGACAAGGGTTACAAGTGCTGGGGTATTTCACAGAACTGAGGGAGGGGTGTTGAGATTCCTTCTACTATTAAGTATTAATACCTTTTGTCTATTAAAAACCGTCAGGTATAAAAATCCCCCAGTGCACAGCGGCCCTGAGTAGTTATTAGGGAACAAGAAACGTTCCACTTTCATTCACAAAACTGTCACACGAGTGAACTTTTAAATAGCTACTGAGAAAAGATGGAGGGAGGGGGGTTTAAGAGGGATGGCACTCTCTTCTCTGCTCCGCCCTTTAGGAGAGGCTCTCTGCCAGTTAAACGCCTCCAGTCTGTTTGCAACAGGTTACACAGTAATTGCATTTATTTAGTAAACAGTCAGAAGGGAACAGCTCCCCCCCCCC